ATTGTATCATTGTCCTAAATAACTTAAGAGATTCGTGTTCAGAAATTTCTGACCAATGCTTTGTACGTTTCACAGGATACTTGACAGGTTTCTTGTTTTATATCTAGCTTGTTAGAACACCCAAAGTGCATATTTATTTTTTATTTAAAGAAACACTTGTGTCATTTCTGAACTACCGGTATGTGCTGACGTCCACTTCTTTCGCTCTTTCAATCAATCTTGCAAACTTAACCGACTCTGAATGTCAGTTGGCTTTAAATGCTGCAATGCTGGAATCTTATATGCAGACACACTCAATTCAAATCGAAGATTTTCTAACTACACTCGATACACTTACATTATCACAATCCATTTCTCTAAACTCAGATCTAACTGACTTTCTTGAGGTTTTCTCAATGATTGACTTCACTTTGACAATACTCTCATGTCTTGATTTTTTCATCTTTACATTATATTTTGTTCGAACTTCTTTCGCTAATAAATGCAAACTAGACAGCGCTTTCTGGTCTGGATATTTTTCTTCATCACACCCTGTACAATGTTTAGGATATCGTGCTAATAATAAAAGTTTACAAATTCAAATTTTTGTTGTTAGTTGTTCTCCATTTTGAGAACAGCTGAAATTATGACATCACTGATTACGTCATCATTTGCAATACCATAATTTTAGATTATGGTGATCTATGATATTTTGGTATTTTTGGTATCATGCTTGATATTCAGATTATTCCCATTTAGATGTGTGACATATATCATGAAACACCCTGTATATACACTGTAGTTATGATGAGTAAGGGGAACTCTTCCAAAATTGTGAATATCTTGGTCCATTAGTTAGGGGTTTTAGTGTTTAGGCGGAGATCTATTGATTATATTGTGAAATTGCATTATTTCTTTGAAAATCCTCTCTGTACCTTGGCATTTAGCAGATAAATTAAAGTGCATGGTGATCAAGGATGCCTCTTCCAAAATTGTGAAATATTCATGTTGGGGGTGGGTCTATTAATATATAGTAGAATGCATTTTTTTTTTTTTTTGAAAATGTTCTTCTCTGCCCCTGGGTATTTAACAGAAAAAACTAATTGCAAGGTTATGACAAGCAAGGAAATCTTTTCAATAAGTCGCAAAATTCATAACTCTGTGGTCAGGGATTTTGGTGTTTGGGTGTGGCTCTTTTGAATACATGTATATAGTAGAAATGCATTATTTTTTGGAAAATCTTCCTCTCTGCCCATTGTTTTTAAGGAAACATACTAAGTGCACGGTAATGAGAAGTAAGAGTGCCTCTTCCAAAATTGCAAATATCTTTGCCCCTGGGTCAGGGGCTTTGGTATTAGGATGGGGCTATATTGAATCAATAGTGAAAATGGATTATTTCCTTGAAAATTCTCTTCTCTACTCCTGGGCATCCAGGGGGCAAATAGAGTATACAAAGTTGTAATAAGCAAAGGTGTTTTTACCAGATTTTGAAAGTCTGTATCCTTTGGTCAATTTATTAATTTCTACTAAAAGAAGTTATTCCCCTTTGCTATTCACCTGTAAAAAATGTAACTTAAAAGTTCAATGGAATAACACGAAATATATGGAGATAACGAACAGTATTCAAGCTCAAAAGTCCATTAAACAATACAAAATAGGAGCAGAGCAAACACAGACCTCCAAAACATCAGAGGTGGGATCAGGTGCCATGAAGGAGTGAGCATCCTCTGCCGACCGGTCACACCCGCCCTGTGCTCCTTGTCATGATCGTGAAATAGCGGAAAAATCCGTCGACAATTCAGTGTGTAAGTAATGGCCTAACAATTAGTATGAAAAACGTCCGCCAGCATTTGACTCAATGATAAATTGTATTTGCTGAGAAGGTCATTGTATCGACCATAGAACTTACGAAATGATGACTTTAACAGAAATATACAAGAAATTTTATAATATTTAATACAAAAGTATTAGATAAATGAAAATGGGACAAAAATTTAATAATAATCTTCAACGATTAAGAGAGGCCAATGTGAGGGGGAATGAAATGTGTTAACTAATAGTACTCTAGAATTATTGTTTTGTTTAGTCCGCTTGAGGATAGTGACAAAGGGGGAAAGTACAGGCAAATAAATAGATCAACTTTAAGTTTTGTTATTGAGTACTAAATTAATATTTTGCTGATCGCTGATCATCCTATTTCTTTTGCTTTTGATCAACATATGCTTTATTTTTCACCTTATTTTGTTTTAATCTATGGATCTTTACATTGTATCAGGTGACCGTTAAGGCCCTTTGGCCTCTTATTTATTGTATATTTCATTTTTCCACTGTGTCATATTGTATCAATCAAAACATATTCATATCACTGTTATACTTTCACTTTATTAGTGAGAAAAATAAGAATCTAAACACCGCCAAAAATGCGTATATAAAATACAATTTATTTTTTGAAAAAATATCTTTTTTAGAGACAGTAGGAATATTAAAAATTCAGTCGAAGCTGCCATGTTTATTAAAATAAACGTAAAATAATGGGCAGCAATGGAATAAAAGTAAACATTATAATCTACATGTATGTAAACAATCACAAAAACACCCCTAAACTTTGTATAAATTGAATTAAATGCACAGGATTAAGATAAAAATTAAATAAAAGCATAAAATATTTCTTTTCGGTAAACTTTTAAAAAACTGAGCACACATATAGGAAAAATATGCCTAAACACGTATTTCTGTTTCTCTCTCTCTAAATAATTGCTTGAATGAAAAATTACTACCTGAAACATTATTATGAGTTTTGCCAGTCCTGTGGACATTGTTTTTACATAATAATTGCGGACATGTCTAAAATTAAAAAAGAAAAACACACAAAAAACCGCCTTTAATCACCATCCAAAATCTTGCTTGATAAAAAATGGTAAAGAATTATATATTTCATTTTTTTTCTTTCTTTTCTTTTCTTTTTTTTTTTTAACAAAATTATTGCTGATCGTTTCATAGATAAGACTGCGGAAAATTAACTGGGAAAATAAGGAAATGGGCGGGTACGATTCTATCCGGGTGTTGAAAAAAATGGATGGAAATTCAAGTTTGAAATTTTGACTTTAAGAGATGGAAATGACATAAGTTGCATATTTCCAATCTTGCCAGTTAATGTTCCGTGGTCTTAAGGTTCACTTTAGCTAGAGTTAAGATAATGGATAAAAATAACATCCGAATTATTACATTTGTCACATAATGGTTTTTATTTTTTTCTTTATTTTATAAAATAACTTTTTTCAAGAGTTCATTGTACACAATTAAAAAATAAAACAAAAATAAACATGTGTAAAGCCAAATTATAGAGGCAGGGAGACATCAGATGAATACATTATTTTACATCCGCATCTATTTTCTTCGGGATCCAGAGCCACCACTTCCTGTAAAAAAAATTTTAAATAAGATATTTTAAGAGCGCTCGTAGTCTCTGTACCAATATGGTTATTTTAAATTCGTAAAGCGATATAAAACAAAAAGCCAGTTTGATTCCCCGTTTGACCGCCAGTTATATTTAGGTTATTGTACCAGCATTACTCTTAGGTTCTGCCGAATGGGGCATTGAAAATTTCAATATTTATTTGAAAATATCCTTATTAAAGTATATGGTGTATTGTGAAACAAGCGGTCTTCCTTTATATCTTGTAGTATTCATACTGCTTTAAGCTTTTTTAAGACAACAAAATGAAATGGTGTATTGAATGCCGAAGCTTTCCGCACAATTTATAAAGAAAATATATGACTCAGGTGATTCAAGTATTCATATTACATTATGTCACCTTGTAAAACCTGATATCTTTGCATATCCCCTAACTGTTCCGGGGAAAACTTGAACAAACCTAAATCAACTCTTCACAAAATGCCTGCAAATAATTTTGATCACTTACAATGTATTTTAACCTTTTGTTGTGATGTATCACCATTTTAACTATCAAAAAGTATTTGTCAGTATTTTGAAATATTGAATATACAATGAATTCATTTTTAATTAAAGTTAACGTTCTTAATAAAATTTACTTATGTCGTTTAAACTAGTAAAGTTATGTGAAGAACTTGGGCTGGTCTGACATCAGTAATGAAACTGATTATATATGTCATGCCTGTCAAGAAAGAACAAGGTTCACTTGGGACCTTTTTTGGCCCTGTGAATTCATGAAAAAATCAAAACCACTCAGTTTTAGTTGAAAATACAATAAATTTCACTTGGACTCTTGGTGACTGCATATCTATTAAACTTGTAATTTTCTCGCTAGTCCATGTATTATGGCATCATGAATTGCGTCATTATCCTCAAATCCTGAAATTTTTTTCTTAAAATGGCCACAGATATAACCTGTTTTTCAATATTTTGTATAATTATACTCCAACCTCTGATCTAACATGTTTATTTATATAATGAAAGAACTGTTTCAGAAGATCATAATCCATCTTTTATTTTTTGGATCGCAGGGTGGGCACATATTTTAATTCTTTATTGAAGGTGCTCAAATACACCCATTTTCTTCAAAATTAAAAAAAACACATGGCACTTTCACAAAGCCTGTTTTCCAATACCTGGACTCTCATAGGAAACTTTTTTTTATAGGAGATGAGAGGACTAAGTCTCTACCTGATATTGATATTTGAAAGGGGACATTGGGACTTGGTCAGTTAATTGGTATATGGTGAGGGCTATTCTATGGATGAAGTGAACCTAGTTCTTTGTCGATAATTACATGCAGAGTCACGACCAAAACAACAAAAGCTAGTAGATACATAAATGAGGATGGAATGTCGAAATACCCAAACATTTGTTTGCAGATGTTTAAAAGGGCACTATGTCCTGTAACCGTGATTGTATGAAAGTAAACATACCTTGTACAAAAAATCCGGGGCCTTGAAAACTTACATTCGGAGGACCTGTAAAATGCAATAGAATTATCAAAACCAAACTTAAACATTAGCAATGGACAATGCAAAGTTGTAATTCATTAAACAGAGTCAATTCACTTACCTGTACTTGCTGGAGTACTAGTAAAAAGATTTGGAAAATGACCTGAAACAAGAAAGTTTTATCTTGTTAGCATTAATAAAAGATTTACCAAGTAAATCCTATCACATTTTCCCCCTAAAACAGTGATATTTATCGATGGTAGTCATTCCATTCGATGCGTAAGATTAGTATCAAAATATCTATAAACATATTACTTCCCTTTCACTACATGCGTTATTACCAGAAAGTAGCTTCTAAAAGGAAAAACTAGCAAATAGCAATGACTCTACTTTTTAACTCTGCTTTTTAACTGAGAGTATGTCATTCCGTAGACTAAAGGTTACTTGGGAAACATTTTAAGGCTCATCTATCATTAAGTCGATAGCTGACTGACGTGTTTATACTAATTATGGGTTCTATTATTAACTCAATTTATAATTTAGCCATTTTTTTGTCAGTGATAAAAACTGCCTTAATTGAAAGTTCTAAAAAATTTTACCTCATAAAAAATCCCCTGGTTCACTAAAACAACGAAATTGTAATTTTTACAGCCAGTGACCTTTAACTTGATAAGTTACTTTTAATCAAGATATACTTTAGTAGATCGAGATCATATGCAATTGCTGACTTCTACAAGACGGCTAGACAGAGAAGTCTCATATAAGCTTGTCTCAGTCAACTCATCTCGAACCTACTTCCAATATTTGTTTAAAGTATATCATATACGGTACCAATTTTGATTCACCAGATGTGCATTCGACAAATTATGTCTCTTCAGTGATGCTCATTCCTAAACTTTGGAAATCCGAAATACAGTTGAACTTCGGTATCTCGAACACTGATATTTCAAATGCCATTGATATGTCGAAGTTATTTGAAAGTCCCAACCGCTTTTTTAAAGTATTTTATCCTCGATATCTCGAATCCTCGGATATCTCAAAGTTTTTTTTCGCGGTTCCATCAAGTTCGAGATAACGAGGTTTGATTGTATTTGAATCAAATGACTTTAAAGAGCTGAAAAAAGGTGCCAAAGACTGGAGCCAAATACGTAGAAGGATCAGAGCTATGCATGAGGAAGATAACCATTTAAATACCATATAAAAATTGAAAAAAGAGAGACAATTTACATTTTTTATATGTTTAATTCTATACAAAAGATTTTCTTTTCATTCCATAGGTCCTTGCACACCCATAGTTTTTGTACAGGTAGTGAGTAACATATTTCCCACGCAAGATACTCTGTAATTTTACTGACCTTGAATTTGGGAATGATCTATTTTTACAAACCTTGATTTGGGATTGATCTATTTTTACAATTCTTAATTCGGGATTGAACTATTTTTACTAACATTAATTGGGGTATTTTTTACTGATCTCAATTTGGGATTGATCTATTTTTACTGACCTTGATTTCGGATTGATCTATTTTTACTGACCTTGATTTGGGAATGATCTATTTTCAATTGTACCATCAGCAGCATCAACTTGCTCCCTCAGTTCTCTGCTTTCATTTCTTGTCTGTTCTAGCTCTTCATTCAAACGTTGGCATCTGTCATTTAGTTCAAAGCTTTCCTGGTGATATTTGTCACGTTCCTCTGTTAACTTTTCATTTTTAACTATAAGAGTAGAAATATTATCTTCAATATGAAGAAGAGAAGTGGAGATATAAATTTTTACTCGAAATTTATATCCATGCATATCTTTATGCGTGTAATAACGTGTAATTTTTAGCATTTATATATAGTCTGTTTCAAAACAGTACAAGATGTGATTGTGTACGTTTTATACGGCATTTTCTCATACTATTCAATGAAACTACACTGACCATAGGTTTTTAAAAGTTAAAAAAACACCTCTTGAACATAACTTGATACTGTTTACAGAAACATACTAGTATTTGCACAGATATTTTCGCAGTTTTTGTATTCATATATGATGAATTAATTTAAACAGGTCTTCTCTATCAATGACCATTTGATAATTTATAAAAGCGGATATGAGTGAATTTCCATCCAAGTAAAATCATTTTTTCATCATCCTAATGTGTTAAAGTTAAGCCACAGGACACTTGTTGTCAGCACCAGTCAACTTATTTAAGAATGCAATGCTTTAAGGGTTATTCTCTGTAAATACTTGAAAGTTTTTTTTTTGGTCAACGATTTTGATGAGCTTGCCCATTATCACAACTCTACACCAGAAATATATATCAAAAATGTAGTTGCTATGTGTCTTGGTTGCCATGGTAACAAATGGAACAGTTTGAAAAATCAATATTTTCAGCAACTTTGAATCTTTATTGAGCCTTTATATAGACTAAGTAAATGAAACAAACCACACTCACAAAAACATTACACTTGTTTGCACTAATGCTATAAAGAAACTCTATAGAATATATCTCTAAATATGTGGTAGCCATGCGTACATTTGTATAATGCATTTTAAATGCTGAAAAATACTCAATAATATTCCTTAATGATGTAGTTGTTATATCTTTAAAAAATAAGTTCCTATATATATATCTATACTAAAAAGTCTAACATTTCTAATGTTTTACTGAGCGGTCATTCAAAAAAAAAAATCAATGTTTGACCGCAGAGTGAGGTATTGGACCTGTGGACGAGCTATTAGACCGCTTACGTCACACTGTGGACGGGATCAGCAAAATCTTATTTGCATTCGTTGGTATGGAAGCCAGCAAAAGATACATGTATAACAAAAATAAATAAAAGGTATAACTAAACATTTATTGACTGTGCTCTCGGGCAAAATGCGTTTTGTCGGCCTCTCGAACCAAACTGTTAAACAGTTTGGTTCTTGGGTCCGACAAAACGCATGTTGCCCTTGAACCCAGTCAATAAATGTATAGTGTCACATGATCAAACTCAGTCACCAAAACAGAAAATATTTGACCTTAAGTATTGAGGTATTGCAAATATTATTCAAAAAATAACTAAACAAGAGGCCCAAGGGTCTTAAAGGTCACTTGAGTATAATACAACACTGTAAAGGATCCATAGAAGTTTAAAACAAATTTAACTGACAGATGAAGCTCTTTTGCCCAAGAATTTCAAAATTCTGTTAAAATACCTTGATCTTCTTTGGATCGTACTTGGTTTTCCCAAGTCTTACAGGAATGATATTGAATGCAAAATATACAAATACAATGGACACTTTCCTAGTGTGTAAAATATTCAATATATACAGATATGTGTTGCCTAGTGCTACAATTAAGTACACAAAGAAAGACTAGGCTATACAACGTGGCTATTTGCCAGTATTCACTAACTAAAACATGTCTACTAGTCACCCTATCTCTCTTATTACTCGTTCACTTCGATAAAGTATAATACAACTTTATGCAGACTCCTGCCAACCAAACTCTGATCACCATGACTTTACCTGACAATAATTCATCATTAGCCTAAAAGACACAACATAAATACAATTGGCCCTTTCCTACATAAATAAACTTTATATCAATCTTTTATATTGCTTTCCAAGCAAAAATCCTACTTTGAGCTTGCTTTGCTTGTTTAAACCAAACATCATATTAATTTTGTTTCAATATATTTTATATTCTTTCTTGTATTCTCAATCAATCAAATAAACTGCTAATTAAATTATATACAAGGATTTCTTGATTTAAAACAATTTAGCAAAGGGGAGTAACTCTTATTTGCTTCACTTTGCAATTTTTACTCTGTTTGCCTCCTAGGTACACAGGAGCAGAGAAAAGGCACATTTACTTATATTTATATTTAAAAATTTGTATTTCATATTATTCCATTTAATCTGTTTGCTTATTACTCAGGGGCAGAGGAGAGGATTTTCAAAGTATTAATGCATTTTTGCTATAGACTCAATAGAGCCCCACCAAAATACCAACCCCTGACCAAGGAGCCATGAAATTCATAATTTTGGAAGAGGCACCCTTCTTCATTATAACTATGCATTTAGTTTGTGTGCTTAATACCAAGGAGCAGAGGAGAAGATTTTCAAAGCATTAATTTATTTTCAGTATGTATTAAATAAGCCCCCGCCAGAATCCTTGACCTTGGGTGCACACCTTTCACAATTATGAAAGAGACAACCTTCCTCATCATAACTATGTACTTAATTCAGCTTAATACCCAGGAGCAGAGAAGATTTATCAAAACATTAATGCATTTTCACTGTATAATCATTAGAGTCCCGCCCAAACACAAGAACCCTTGACCGAGGCCTAGGGGGCCACGAAATTCACAATTTTGGAAGAGGCACCTTGCTCATCTTAAAACCAGGTCTCAAGACCATAAACTAGGACTAGACTTAAGTCAAAATTTTGATTTTGAATATCTTAAGTTCTATTTAACACATGTGCTTAAAAAAATTGCAGATATGTTTAAAACACAAATTCCTAACACATTATCAAAATTATCAAAAAAATATATTGATTTGAAATTTTGACTTACATGTAAGTCTGTTCTCAGTTTTTGGTCTTTAGCCCAGAACCCCTGACCCAGGGGCCATGAAATTCACAATTTTGGAAGAGGCATCCTTGCTCATCATAACTATGCATTTAGTTTGTTTGCTAAATACCCAGGAGCAGAGGAGAAGATTTTTCAAGAAATAATGCATTTTCACTATATATTCAACAGAGCCCAACCCTAGCATCAGAGACCTGATCCTGGGGCCAAGAATTTCACAATTTTGGTAGAGGGCTCAATGCTTATTACAATCATGCTAATTGCTTGACTGCTTGATGCCAGAAGTCAGGGGCCATGAATTTCACAATTTTTGTTCCCCTTCACCCATAGATGCTATACTGAACGCAAAAGAAACGCAACAAGCAGTGATCTACAAATATTTGATTTTTTTATCTGATGATTTTCAAACATCAATACAGTAAGGTAAAACTCGATTTAAAAACATCACAGATTTGATAAAAATTTCAAATTACTATGTTTTAACTTTAGAAAGTAACACATGAATGTTAAAACACCCCAACCCGGCCATTCAATTACAGCGTGAAAGACTGCCATGTACAACAGTTGCAGCTTGATTTCTACGATGCATTGGGTTCATCAATCTCGAGATCTGAGCGAAAGAAATATTCTTTGCCATTTTTAAATGCCTGTTTTTCAGATGATGAGGTCGAATTTTCTCTAGCCAAGCGCAGTGTAGTAACCCTTGGACTTCCTGTCCAATGACTATCATTCATGCTTATGATACGTAACATCCTGTTGAGGCGTGATGTGGTGCATATTTGCAACTGCAACTCTCCATCATCTTTATTTTGAGATTTTCCAGCTAGAGCAATGGAAATGCGTATGGTACTTTTGTCTTTTTTAGGAAGCCTTGGCATCGCTTACGGAGAACAAAAGAGAATTTATTTTTCGGAACATTGCTGCATTACTTGTGATGAACAGATACAAATCCTTAAAACCCTATATTATTGCCAAATGTTTTTTTAAACATGCAACTTTTTATTTCTGTTAAGCGGACTCAAACGTAACTTCCGGTAATGGTATGAGAATCACTCAACCGTTAAATTACCGATATTTACGAAGTTGAAGATGTACTTACTTTTTAGATACAAAATTATATCCTATATGTAATATTTTCCCCTAAAATAGCATGTTGCGTTTCTTTTGCGTTTCAGTATATATGCCAAAATTGGTTAAAATTGGTTCATCCTTTTCAGAGAAGAAACTGAAAATGTACAAATGTTAACACACGACGCACGTCTCACGACCACGGACGAAAAAAAAATAGCAGTAGGTCACCTGAGTGACTCAGGTGACCTTAAAAAAGACTAATCATGGCTTTGCTGTTCTTGAGAAGAAATTGTTAGAGTTTTTCCTATATATTTCTAAGTAAACTTTGATCGCCTAATGTTGCCCAATCCTATGCCCGGGGTCATGATTTCAACAAATTTGAATTTTCACTACCAGTGGATACTGCCAAATAAATAAGACTAATCATAGCATTGTTGTTTTTGAGAAGAAAATTCTTTGAATATTTTCCCTATATATTCCTATGTAAAACTTTAAACACCTATTGTGGCCCCGCCCTAGCCTATGATTTGAACAAACTTGAAGGTACATTATGTAATGAAACTTTCACACAAGTTTCCTTTTTTCTAAACTTAAATCCCCTTCATCCAAGGATGCTTTGAAACAAATTTAGTTGAAGACGTCAAAAATGTGAACAGTTTATAGACGACGGACGAGACACGACAGACGGACGTGGGACAACCTTCAATCAGAAAAGCTCACTGGTGAGGTAATGAATAAAATTATTTTTCGAAGACTTTGTTTTCTCAGTATCGTATGTAAGAGTTGATTTCCAAAATACGTTTATCATGCATTTACGACATTAAACCTTCAACTTTTGGAAGCAGTCATTGTCACGTGTCTGCATTGCTGCAAATGTTAACCATGGCACTATAAATATGTTCAAAAATGCCAATTTTCAGAATTTAAGGTATGCTGCCATGGTAACCATGACACATAGCAACCATTTTTTGCCTGATTTGAGTTTATGGTATCAAAGACTTTTATCATAGAGAGCTTGGAGAAATTTTGAAACTATGTGTGCCACAGTATATATATATATATATATATATATATATATATATATATATATATATATATATATATATATATATATATATATATATATATATATATTCAAGTCATTACAGAGATGGCTCTTAAATATTTGCTGATGACAACTTTCTCGGAAGACTTGTGATTGTTACGTAGCTTAGTCAGCAGAGCGCTCGCTCCGTAATCGGAAGGTCATTGGTTCAAGCCCCGGTCACTACAGACCTAAGTCGTTAAAAAACTACTGTCCCTTCGCCAAGCCAAGTGCGAGTCTTTCGTATCAGACCTAAAAAAAAGATCTCCCTTGTCACTGTAGACGTTCGCACAATGAAGATTCCTCACTTCTCAATGGTCCTGAGTGCCAAATATAGGTTAAAATTTGAAGCCCTTCAACGGTATATGGTGACATCTCTATATCAGTGCAAAATTCGCGAATGGGACGTATAAAACATACAATCAATAAATTTCAATAGACTTGTAAAAAGTGAGTCTGAAAAGCAACTGAGGACAGTTTAAAAAAATTCCCTTCGAAACCATTCTGAACCAGAAAATACACCACAAAAAAATCTACATGTGTATTTCAGCATTCCATATTTTACTTACAAGTTAGCTGATCTACCTGCTGTTGGAGCCCATGTACACATTCTTTAAAAATAAGTAGTAAATTAATGTTTATATTTAATTGAACTTAAAAATCATATTTGATATTTGAAGCATATTTCTATCTCACATTGAAAATTGATTTCTTTTGACCTTTTTTCTCTTCCAGCAATCTCCTGTAGTTCTCTGCTGCAGAACGGTAATTCCGTAAATTTGCTGCCATATTCTCTAAACGGTGGCCATTAGTCGACAATAACTCATTGACATGTCTGTTTTTCTCTAGAACATAAAATATAGTAATGGTATTTAAGGATATTTACTTTCAAATATAATAATAGATTATATTCGTTTTTAAAGAATTTTTTTATCTTATGCCAAACTGCAGTATCGTTTGTTAATTTACATGTACCTGTTTCTTTATACCATATATATATATATATATATATATATATATATATATATATATATATATATATATATATATATATATATATATATATATATATATATATATATATATAGATAGATAGATAGATAGATATATATATATATATATATATATATATATATATATATATATATATATATGTGTGTGTGTGTGTGTGTGTGTGTGTGAGTGAGGGTGTGTGTGTGTGTGTGTGTGAGGGTGTGTGTGAGTGGGTGGGTGGGTGTATACTTTTTATTCTGTCTTTAAATGCAGTTGAAATCAAATTATTCTTATTACATTCTTCGTGATACTTGCTATTAATTTCAATAGAATTAGCATTCCATAGAAAATTAGCTTTGTTTTGTCAACACAAGTTAGATATATTACCCTACAATGTTTTGCAAATGACAGAACAAGCAATCGACTAAAACTTTACTTTCATTTCACTTTGATCAACTGGTATTGTATGTAGATTAGTGACACACATGTTACACTTACCAGTTTCCCTCTGTAACTCTAACTGTGTGTCTTGCAAAACTTTATAGTATTCCTGCAAATAATTGCGTAAGTAGCCTGATTCTTCCAGGCATGCACGAAGACGGGTGTTTTCAACTGAAATTAAGTTTTTAGCATAAATTTTTTACAGATTTGTATTGCATGCACTGTGTCCACAAAACATATATTTCTAAACTACTGAATATTTTTCGTTAACTGAAAATAAAACCAAACTCAGCAATATTAACTTTAATTCAAGCTTGTTTTTTGCTGACTGAATAGATCAAGTGAGCATAAAAAAATGCCAGTATCTTTCGATCTGTCTGTTATAAACCAAATGAGTGTCAGAAATAACGACAAATTTGTTTTATGATTTATAAATTATAAATCAGTAAATCTAGTGAGTGTAATCAGTAAAGCATGACAGTGCAACTAAAAAAAGGATTGCGTATATTTCCATTCGGTGCCGTCCCCGAAATTTTGGTATATAGTTATTTGTTTTTCTAAGCATGGCTTTTCCCAATTAAATAAAAACCAACCGTTGTTCGTTATTAGTTTCGCTTTAATTTTTTTTTTTACATGTAGCCTAGAACTTGAATATATAAAAAAACGTAATTACCTAAAAGAAACTGCTTGTCTTGTTCTGCTTGACTTTTCTCCATTTCTACTCTCTGTAAATTTGAAATTCGATACGCCATTTCCTGTTGACTTTGAACAGTCTTCTTCATGCATTCTAAAATGCAATATTTCTTTCAGCACAGCAAATGAACAAAATAATCTATAAACTTTTACAAATTAAAAGTTATTTTTGAATATTTAGAACGAGCTTATCTATACATATGATTTGAATTCGAGAACAATAAGAACAGGTTCACGACTACTTTTGCAAAACGAAAAAAAAAATTCTATAATAATAATAGCTAATTAAAAGTATCGTCATGGCAATTCATCTTAATGGACGGCATATTTTTGTGACCATTTCTGAAGCAATGAAGAAATTTAAAATCTTACAATGCAGTTTACTTTAATTATTAATTATTAGTTGTTTTATTCACTGTTTAAAGCATCATATACTTTCATTCTAAACAGTAACTCGACAACAATAGGCCCATGGGCCACAACGCTCATCTGAGTCACAATGTCCTTGCTGTTTTTTAGAAGAAGATAATTCAAAAAGATTTTCTCTCCTATAAGTTTTAACCTTGCATTGTGGCCCACCATATACCCCCTGGGGTCAGATTTGAGCAAACAAGAATATTAATATCACTAATCCTGGATCTGATATTTTTTAGAAGATTTTTAAAGTTTTTTTTTCCTATTGTGTCTCCATCCTTTCCCAGGGCAGTGAACTATGAAAATTGGAATTTGCACTTTCTGAGGATGCTTGTATATCAATATCACTAATTATGGCCCTGATGTTCTTGAGAGGATGAATATTAAATATTTTTCCTATTATATATTTTTATGTAAAACCTTAAAATCTTATTGTTGCCCAACTCTATCAAAGTGGGCATGATTTGAACGAATCTAAATCTGCACTATCTGAGGATATTAATATTAATAAGCAAATTAATATTACTGATCAAGGTCCAGTTGTTCTTGAGAATTTCTTCAACAGATTTTCCCTCAACATTCCCATGTGAAATTCTGATCCCTTATTGTGGCCAACCCTAGTCCCTTGAGCCATGATTTGAACAAAATTGAATCTTCACTACTTGAATATACCTTGTAAATTAAAATGACTTTTAAAAAGAAAAGATTTTTGCCTATATATTCTCATGAAAAATTTTGATAACAAAATTTTGTCCAAAACTATACCAAGGCTAAGATTTGAACAAATTTGAATCCTTGCTTATCAAAAAATGTGAAAAGTTAACAGACAATAGGCGTCAGATGGATTAATATTGATCAGAAATTTGGTTCGGTGAACTAAAAAGTGAGGACACTAGTTATCAAAGTCCTTTGAGATAACCAATAAAAAAAAAACCAATAAGCTTTAAGTTTTAAAAGGACAGTCGATAAATGAACTTTACATACCCAATTACTTTATTTAAACTAAAGTTAATTTATTTGTACCATTGGCATATGTTTTTTCGGCCTCCTTCATTTCTATATTGGCGTTTAGCTCCAATATCTTCGTATCACGCTTATTCACTTCTCCTGTTGATACAGTCATATATTAAGTACGAGTTCATATATTAAGTACAAGTTCATATATTAAGTACGATTTCACAGAGAATTCTTCCTCTGATTCATATGAATTTATGCTATTTGATTTTGGATTATAAGTACATATAACAGACTTACCACTTAATTGAAGAATGTGGGCATCAAGCTGTGTCTTTTCTTTCTTGATGTCCTCCAACTCTCCTGACAATAAGAAATGATATAGAAAAATACATTAGTATTTTTTTTTATAATCAAAGAATTTGTGCACTAGTATACGGACATATATACATGTATGTACAGATGTATAATGGTAATTTTATTCGTCCTGAAACCCATTTCCTTTTCCTGTTTTCGTTACATCAATATTAAATAGAGAAAATACTTTAAATTTCTTTAAGTCCTTATCTGAATGCTCAACGGTCAGTGAGTCGAAATGGCCTCGGTTTAAAGTATTTATATATATTTAAAAAAAAAATGGTTAAAATCCCAGCGCTTTTTTCAGCACATTATATATAAGTATTCAGCATTTATACTAATATACAACCATTTTAATGGTTATAACTTACGGTTAATTCGGATGAGTTCTGTTTCAAAAGTTTTATTTTCTATTTTCTTTCCTTCTAGTTCACCTGAAAATTATACGGCAATTCATTAAACACATTACATACGAACATACTATATTGATGCTGAGCCATGAATGATAAAAGGAGATAGGCAGCTGAATTATTACATTTTCAACAGTCAAATACTATAATTCATTTACTGAATAAAATTGATATTCTGACACAGTGTGAAAGGGTATCAATATGGTATTCTCACAGTGTGAGAATATCAGAAGTGCGGCAAAACTTACGATTTTCCTTCCCTTCTCGAAAAGTTTTTTTTTTTTTTTTTTTTTTTTTTTTTTTAAATCCCAAGCCTGTTATAAGATAGAGTTAATGAGCCATCCTGACAGAGACTAATAGCTACCAGGTATACTGCAAAAGTTTTTCCAAATATGTCGTTATCAATCCATGTTTACAATTTTTCAATCTCGCAATCGCTTATAGCTATGACGTCTCAAGCGCTCAACTATGACGTCACAGCCTATGACACTGTGTTACGAAAAGACAGAGGCAAAGGAAAAATCTAAGAAAATGTAATAAACAGAAAATTCAATGTTTTGTAGATGGATATGGAATTTATTTCACTTGTAAGACAGGATTTTTTGATATTTTCACTCGTGCTTCGCACTCGTGAAAATATCAAAAAATCCTGTCCCACTCGTGAAATAAATTCCATATTCATCTACAAAACATTGAATATCCTCTATATACATACTTGTTGTTTGCATAATTTGGGCCCGTAAACGCCGAATATCATCCGTCAATTTATTTATTTGTTATTGGTTCTTTTCTTTTTCTTGGTTTGATTGAGCTGAAGTAAAGATTAAAACTTTAAATGCAAAAGGAAAAAAATTCTTGAAAAGAAAAATAAATGCAAAGAGAAAAACATTTGGCAACGTTTCTGTTAAAAATTTCCATATCATTCAATTTTTAAGATCCTATTTGATAACTAGCCCAAATCCTAATTTCCTGGCTTTGAATCTGTGTATAACATATCTCTAATTCGTGTGTCATCGACTTCAAGCATGCTTATAGATTCTGAGATAACAAATGCAAAAACATTGTGTTTTTTCTTTAGTAGGCTTTACCTGTTAACTTCCGAATAGCTTCATCTTTCTTTGATATTACTCCTTCATGCTGTTCATTTGCAACTGAGAGATCATGTTCTTTTTTATCAAGTTTTTCTTTAAAATAAATAAAACATTACAAGAAACTTCTGAGAACTGCTTGATAAAATATTAACCATTTAAAGGAAAGTTAAAATATTACCCTTTTAATGGAAAGTTAATGAGTTTTATATCATTGAAAAGATCAGAAAAATATACACATTGTGATGTCACTTTGTAATTTTTATGTCGTAATAACTCCGAAAATGACGTCAGAATCTCGTTTGTCTAGCATACTGATCTTTAAAATGACGTAATAAGAGACACAATTTCAGAGATGTAAAATTTTAAATTCAATTTTTTTTCATTACTTGGAGCCATGCTAACAGACACAATTGCAAGTTGGGAGAATGTTTACATAGATTACATTCTATTATATGCAGTTATATTCAGGAGCTCCTATAGGTCTGACGTGGCTTAAGAGTGTGTCATAGCATGTTATTATCGAATTTCGCGCTTAATATGGGGTAAAAAAAAGTTGTTGTGAGAAAATGACAAAAGTTGATAATCCCAGTCCTATGTGAATAGTGGACGATGTTGCAGAGTTTTCTGGCATTGATTCGTCAGTTGTTTTCACCAGTTTGCAGGAACAATTAAAGCTCAGGAGAGGTTTAGCTAAGTGTGTCCCATATTTTTTTTTTTCATAAAATCGAAAATGGCACCCTTGTAGTTGTAACCCCACTTAATTCGATATGTTCGCAAATTTAGCTCATGGAAAATTAATGATTGTACATGACAAGTCGAAAGTCAAACGCAATAATGAGGTTTTGATAGTCGAAGTTGAAAAAATATTCACAAAAATAAGTCTGAAGGAAGGTTTTCGTACGTTTTAATTATAAACAGTAATGGTCCTTTTACTGAAGATACCTATGCATTTGTGGAAAACCGCATCGTTACACTATCCCATCTCTATAGAGCTCTGACCCAGGGGCCATGAAATTCACAATTTTGAAAGAAGCACCATTGCTCATCATAACTATTCTCTTGTATGTAGATTTTAAAAGAAATAATGCATTTTCACAATAAAAACAATGGAGCCCCCCCCCCTTTCCAACTCCATAACCCCTCACCCTGGGATCACAAATTTCACAATTTTGGAAAATACACCCTTGTTCATCATATCCATGCATCTAGTTTATCTACAACATAAACAGGGGTAGAGAAGAAGATTTTTAAAGAATTTAAGCTTTTTCACTTTTTCACTATATGATTATTAGAACCCTGCCCTGGGGCCAGAAATTTTAATATTATGGTAGCAACCTCAATACTCATTTCAATTATGCCAAAAGATTGATAGCTTGATGTCAAAGGAGTAAAGAAAAGGAATTTTTTTTAAAGAAAGCACTAATTTTGATTGTTTTGGCCTCATCCCTACGCCCGGGGGGGGGGGGGGGGGGGACCATGAGATTCAAAATTTCTTTTAGCTCTTCACCATTTGAATTTTTTTGCCAAAATTAGTTTAATTTGATTCAGTTGTTCAAGAGTAGAACCTGAAAATGTATAAAAGTTTACAACCAACGAACGATGCAAAACGACAGACAAAAAAGAGATAGCACAAGATCACCTGAAAGACTCAAGTGACATAAAAGCAAATATCCGTCCACAGGTCTCTTTTACCTAGTTTTTTAACAAACCTTTCGTCAAATGGAACTGTCTTTCGAATTGCTCTTTCTCTTCTTTCAATTTTTCCAAAGCAGCTTTCGAAAGAAAATTAAAGACTCATTGTTAATTACGTACACAAAGAGATATCCGACAATATGGGAAACTGAAAACAAAACCTTTTAAATTTGAATTGAGTGTACAGAGTTCAAGTTCATTCAAGTATAAATTCAAACCTTTAAAATTTTCTGCAGCCTTCTCCCCATCCAAAAATTTGTGAAGAATGCCGCTATTGTCTGCTGTAATCAACAACAAAACAATAAATCTCTCTCTCTCTCTCTCTCTCTCTCTCTCTCTATATATATATATATATATATATAGGATCTCCCATGATTTGTTGTTGGATATGATTTTTATCCAACGAGTTGTGTGTTTTTTTTTTATGCCCGAGCCTTGGCGAGGGGATAAAAACACACAACGAGTGGGAGATGGGAGACATGGGAGATTCTTTTTATCCCATGTTTAATACTTCACAACCAATGTTTTACATTGTTTTATATAGGACTCCACTTTATTTTACTTCATTACTCTAACGCAAAAACCATTGTGACGTCACAACTGCACTTAACTGTGGATTATGAAAAAAATTATCCAATGAGTCAAATCCACGGGATAAAGGGGTAAACATGGGATATATATATATATATATATATATATATATATATATATATATATATATATATATATATATATATATATATATATATATATATATATATATATTACTGTTCAGAAACGAATTAAAATTTTTTTGAATACAAATGTCAATTCATTCGTATTAAAAAACGTAACAATGTTCAACATGCATAAAAAATAATGTTATTTCAAAATTTATTTTTTCTTATCATTAGCTACATATAGTTAATGTGAATACCAGATATGTTCCTTTGTGACATGATAGGTATTATACGTATATTTTCAGTTTAAAAGTGCATAGGGGCAAAATGTTCCAGTTCTTGGGAAATGTCGGAGCACCATGTAGCACTCTATAAATCTTTTAAGGAAGATGTCAATCAAAAAATTTATATATTAGAATATACTGTTACTTTGGACTCTCTTGATATTTTTCTTACGTTCATGATGCCGTCCACCATTAAATTATACCAATTTGTGAAACAAAAGATCCATTATTATACATGATAGGACATACCAATCTATTTTTGAAAAACAACAATTGGAAAAAGATATACTATTGATGGACAATAGATATTCCGATCGCTTCGGGAGGCCCGGATTCGATTCTCATTCGCCGCGCTGCGTCAAACCTAAGACGTAAATATGGGTAGTGGCTGTTCCTTTGCCAAGCGCCCAGCACTAGGAGTGAAAATCAGGGGTCTTTCGGATGAGACCCTAAAAACCGAGGTCCCGTGTCACAGATAAGCGTTGGCACGATAAAGAACCCTCACTACTCCATGGCCTGAGGTCATAATTTGAAGCCCTTCACCGGCATACGGTGACATCTCTATATGAGTGAAAAATTCTCGAATGGGATGTAAAACATCATACAAACAATCAATCAGATATTCCGAGAGGATTAAATGAGTCTATCTTAAAACATTCAATTTACTAGCAGCTTTCCCCATTGATAACTATACATCTTAATCATCTACTTGAAGTAGTTTCATTTAAGTCACATTGATTATTTCTATGATAATATCTATAATATTTCTATCATAATGATAATATGAAATTCCTCACCACATTGTTTTTCAGTTTGTCTTTTCAAATTATCCATCTCTCCATTGGCTTCCTCTAGTCTCTCTAAAAAATATAATGGACTTAGAAGATAAGAAAACTATAAAGCTTTTTTCTTCATCAAAGAACTTTCACTTTTAGTTATGGTTAATTATTGAAGAAGAAAATAACTACTTATGATCCGTATTCCTATGGCATTCAAATGAACTCAACCCTTAAGATTTTGTAATTCGATATGGTTCAAAACATTTTGAAGATCCAAATTATGAGTAAAAGACCAGGAGAGAGAACAACATGCAAATGCCAAATGTCAGACTCTTTTTTACTTTATAGTAGTAGATAAAATGAGACATAAAAATCTTAATTTCTAAAGTTAGTGAAAATATCATTTAGAAAAGAAGTCATCATTTAAAGCGAAAACGTACTTTGAAGACTTTCTTCTGTTCTTTCATGACTAAGTAAATCCTCCTTCATCTTCTGCATTTCTGTTAACCTTTCTTCTCCGATGTTTCTCTCTTGGCTGAGAGTATCTGTTAAGTATATATGTATATTTTAAAAATCGCATTTAAGCTCATTTGTCGAAAGTAAGGTAAAGAAATATAAGTGTGTGTTTAAGTTTATTGTTTACCTGTTATTTGTTCCTAAAATATATCATAATTGCTTACTTTCTTCTTATTATTATAACGGACATTCAAAAAATTGGTTGTCCCCTGAGGAGATATATACCATTTAAAGATTGGACTTCTTGTTTCAGTTTTTCTATTTCATCCTCTCTAAAAACTTCCTCTGTAAAAAAGAAAATGAAAACCCCGTAAGACTGGTAGATCTTTAATTTCACTAATTTAGTGTATTTGCATATTATCAAATGTAAATAAATACAGTTGCTTCGAAATAAAAAAAAAACCAATAGAGGATATACGTTATTAGCTGTTTAAACAAATTCATTTGAATAAGTCATAAAAAAAATTTCACATTTGAATTAAGAGAAGCACTAGGAATTTATTTCCATGATTCCCACGCTTTAAACATAATATTTCTGATTAATCCTTCAATTCTGTAATATAAAATTTTAGAACACTTATTTAATATTCCAAGAGCATGATAGTTTTTAGCAAATCAGATATGATTTCCTAATATATACCCGAAACTTTCCGTCATTTCACTGATTTATTAAAAATAGTCCTTGAATTATTTTTTTTATATATTCCTTTAGTAGTTTGCAAGTATAACAAATCTACGTATTAATTATTATGACTACTTTTGAAGCATTTGATAGAATGTCCTATTACCCTTTTATCACCATAGAGATTATGGTAAAATGACTTATTTTCGTGGGGGTTTAATTTTCGTTGTTTTTCAAAGTATGAAGAGACCCAAGAATTTATATCCACAACGAAATGTAAAATTTCATTTGCATTACTACTGATTGATTCATCAACAAAAACATAATTTATCTTAAAGACCATATACATATCCAGTATGTTTTAAAGTTAAGAAAAATGGACTTGTTTTATCTGCTACATGTAGTTCAAATAGATTTAAAAAAAACTCCCCATCTCAAAAATTCTCCGATATATGCATCAGCTATAAATGTTATTGAAAATGTTCATTTCATCTTTATACCTTCATATGCCTTGGTCTTCATTTCTAAAAATAAAAGATTAATATAATATTATAGATTCTATTTGTTTCTGATCTAATGTTATACAATGCACACATAATATACGTGGAAGATCTACACCAATTTTTTACCAAAGAATGCAATAGAAATTGAGGAAATAAAATGTCTACTAACCTCGCAGTTCCTCTTCAGCTCTTTCCAGATCTAGAATTCTTTGCATTAAACGGCCATTTTCATCTACATTGGAAAAAATTGTCCTTTTTTCATTACATGAGCAAAAATAATTTCAATATACATTACACATCGTAGGAATTATCAAAGGATAATTATAAGTATCATATTATTTATCCACGTGTAGATTAAAGATTTAATTAAAATATGAACATGGTAATACCGTTTATTATAAATGAACAAAAATTGTTGGACGTAATAAATACTGATTGATGGACATTTTAACAGCACATAAGCCCTCCTGCGGTCATGTAAGTAGAGCTTACAAATGAAAGAGTGTGTATGATGAGAAATTTAATTTTAGTATTTTCACAAAAGAAATTAATAAATACCAATTTTGTCATCGTTTTCTCTGGTAAGTTGTTTTATTTGTTCTTCGTAATCTTTCATTTTTTCTGCAATTAAAATAACAAAGGTAGGTTAATTTGTAAAGAAAATGGAGGGATAAGCAGAGCCATATGCCTATATAACGACGGATAAAAATTCAACAAATATATTTCTCACAAAGTCCACGTTTGTTTAATATAGGTAATGTTTATATTGCATAAAAAAATTAACAAATACGTGTGTACAGTAAATGCAAAATTGATTACGATTAACATAAGAAATTGGCAAAAATGCTCAATTTTCACAAAAAGTGACCTAAATTGGATGCTATAAGTATTTTTTTTTTCAAAAGAGGGGTATATATATATATATATATATATATATATATATATATATATATATATATATATATATATATATATATATATATATATATGTGTGTGTGTGTGTGTGTGTGTGTGTGTGTGTGTGTGTGTGTTGGTTTCACCGATCTCCCGAGGACTATGGTGTGAAAAAACACCTTTACTCCGAGGACGTAAATTTCTTCCGAGGACTTTTTCCACGTCCTCGGAAAAAAATTGCTTGTATCGTCACAAAATATCGAGCTACATCACGTGGTGAAATTTGGTGAAAGTCCTCAGAAGAATAGTAAGATGTGAAATTGTGTTACACCATCACACACTTTTATCGTCTGCCAAAACACACATTTGATATTTTAGACGCGCGCTGATGCGCGCGCATCCAAACAGGATATTTCCGATGCGCAATGATGCATGCGCATAGGAATGGCGGAAATGATGAAAGGTCTTGACTTTTACGTCTCAATATGTAAGTATTCACTGTATATTTACTAAACGTTGTTTTCATTAATGAAAAATAAATAATCTTAGATAAAAAAAGACATTTAACAAAGAATTTTAATGCTAGTATCTGTACTTACATGTAGATGTAAACAGATAGGACATACACGAACATTAATAGGAAAAGACATAAATAGATAAATGATAGATCTCATTTGACTACTTAAAAACGTGTAATTGAGGAAAAACTGTCACTGAAGAAGGGGAAATGATAAGTACGGAAAACATATGTTTATACCATGTTCATTTCTATGAGCCTTTCAGGTTTTTAGGTGACATTAACTTGTTGACAAAACGCTTGCTTATAATAACCCCCCCCCCTTCTAAAGATTTTTTTTAAAATGACAAAACACTCGTACAAGCAATGATACCTGGCACTGGTTAACTTAATTCACACGAATTAAGGTAGGATTATTAAAAATGGCAGTTTGTAAATTTAGAATTTACAGAATTTAAAGAGCCAAAATTACTGAAAAGGGAAACTAAAATTTCGATCATTTATCTTCACATGACAATCTTAGATTCCTCACTTTCTCATTGTAGAGACTTTTTATTTGGAATCGAAAACAATGTATAGTTCCTTTGACATAGTTTTCAGAAATGGAGCAGTAGATTAACTTGTTAAAAAAGTAGCATGCATGCAAATCTTTAATTTATGGAAAAGCAGAATTTAAAACAAATATTCTATTCTTTTGGAAAAACATGGTTAAGTTTTATGGGTCTGAAAAGCAGTGGTGATCAAGAAAACAAGACCAACCGTACTCAGTATTTATAACTTAACAAACTTTCAGAAACTTATAAATGGAATATTAAGGTAATGGATTTTGTTTATATTTGTTGTTGTAAAACTCGAGATTAGTATGAATACTTTTGCACACTTCAATTCATTTAATGTTCCTTACCTTTCATCTTCAAAACACAAAACTGATCTCCATGTTTGTTTCATGTTCCTTTGAGAATTTTTCACTCATATTAAAAAGCCACCACTTGCCGGTGGAGGGCTGCAAATTTAAAACTGTACTCAGTACTTATGGCTTTTGAGCAGTGAGGGATCTTTTTCATGTCAGCACTTACTGCGACACAGGACCTCAGTTTATAAGGTCTCCTCCAAAGACCGGTCTCCACGTTCTGCTATGGGATTTGAATCCACAATGTAAGGATCATCTTACTCCTCGACTCGTCGCCCGCATGGCGCAGTGGTTAGAGCGTCTGCTCTAGAGTCGCGGAGTAAGGAGTTGATCCTTACGTCACGGGTTCAAATCCCACTGTGGGATGTGGAGACCGGTCCTTCGGATGAGACCGTATAAACCGAGGTCCCGTGTCGCAGTAGGTGCTGGCAGGAAAAAGATCCCTCACTGCTCAATGGCCGTAAGTGCCGAGTATAGGACAAAATTTGCAGCTCTCCACCGGCAAGTGGTGGCGTCTCCATATGAGTGAAAAATTCTCAAGAGGGAAATTAAACAACATAAAAACAAACAAACTCCTCGACTCTAAAGCAAATGCTCTAACCATTGCACCATGCAGGTGACTTTGATCTCCATGCCTCAGAGGAAATGACTTGATAGCCTCTTATAGGAGTAATTGTCACTGACTATATGCACTACCTATGTAGTCACATAAACCAAATATTGCTGCTCTTTGAGACATAGTTTATAAGTCTTATATAATGCACTTAAAATAAGTCAAGAACATTCATTCAAAGAGTTAAAAATAATCAATACCTCAGGAAGTTTCGACAATTCTTAGATTTGAAAAATATTTGCTCAAATTGAATTAGATTTCATATTTTATTCTGTTTATGTCAAACATGATGTTCTATTTATTAACAATTGATTTCTCTCCTTGGTAAAATGATTTTTTACTGTTTATTTAACGTCCCTTCGAGAATTTTTTACTCATGTTAAGAAGCCACCACTTCCCTGTGGAGGGCTGCAAAATTAGACCTGAACTCAGCACTTATGGCCATTTATATTAGCAGTAAGGGATATTTTGTGCAAACACCTACTGCAACAAAGAACCTGCTTTATACGGTTTTATCCAAAGGACCGGTTTTCAGGTCCCACAATGGGATTAAAACCCTTGAAGTAAGGATCAACTCCTTACTTTGCAACTCTGGAGCAAAAGCTCTATACTTTATGCCACGTGGCGACTGGTAAATTGATAAACATGCACTAAATATGTTGACTCTACCACAGGCCTCGAGATCTATGTGACCTCTAAAATTTAGGCACCAACTGGCTCCTTATGAAAAAAAAAATTTAGTCACCAATGCAAATTTTTTGCCGCCAGGTAAATTTTTCTTAGGCACCAATCTAAAAACTGATATTAGTCAATATTAGAGACATGTCCATTGCTTCTTTTCGGCTCTTTCTAAAAAAAAAAATTGAAAATGTTTATAGTTCAGTAATTTGATGATCACCAAGCCAATTTAAAATGGTCACCAATTTGGCGAATTCTAGAAAAATTTTAGGCACCAATCATAATTTTTAGGTGCTATGGCGACTTAATTAGTCACCAATTAGACCTATACCATATATCGTATACCCTGTAATTGTTTTCACTATCTGCACATTTCTGATTTTTTTGCCTTTACAAATCAACTTGGTTATAAAGATACATGACTGTATAATTTTTGTAAAACAGCTGGATTTTTAAGTTAAATTTCTTTTGGTTTAAAGCTAAGAAAACTTAGATATTATAGCTAAAGGACTGGTTATTAAGGGACAAGCTTAAGTATTTCTGACACATTTATTCTATCCCCTTTAAAATTACCATGGGGCTATAGATACAGGTTGGTCATGTGATCAAATCCCATGGAATCCAAAGGGCTTTATGGTAGGTAACAACATATGACTATAGTCCCATAGATGATAAAATATTATACTATTCATGTTACATTTTGCCCATATATGAAGCATTAGAGTATTATAAATTGTGTATAAAACATTAATGTTTTTACTTTGAATTTCAAATGTCAAGCGTCACCTGTGTGGCACAGTGGTTAGAGCATTTGCTCTAGAGTCGCGGAGTAAGGAGTTGATCCTTACGTCGTGGTTTCAAATCCCACTGTAGGACATGGAGACCGATCCTTCGGATGAGACCATATATATCGAGGTCCAGTGTCGCAGTAGGTGCTGGCATGAAAAAGATCCCTCACTGCTCAATGGCCCTGAGTACCGAGTACAAGTCAAAATTTGCAGCTCTCCACCGGCAAGTGGTCGCATTTCCATATGAGTGAAAAATTCTCGAGATGGACGTTAAACAACAACAACAAAGTTAACTGGAAGTCCGAACCACTTATTTTTTAAGAAATTAACACTCGATATCTTGAATACTCCTATATCTCTAAGTTTTTTCAGTTCCATCTATTTTAAAATAATGAGGTTTGACTGTGCATGTTTCTTATTTAGCATTTGATGAATTTCATGTGAATCACCAACAAGTTTTCACATTTTGATGCAAACTTTTATAGTTCTAAACAACCACCCACTCATTAATCAACTACTACATATAATTTAAATAAAATAAATTAACAATTAGTTAAAAGTTCATAATTATATACATTTTACCAACTCCTTTTATGTATTCAACTACAAGATATTATATACATAATTTAAATAAATTTAAATTGATCAGAAATGTCAAAATGGAAAGTTTGAGAAACCTGGCTTCATTTACTGGACAGTACTGAAATTGTAGAAAAGAAGTTCATTCATTTATCAATTGCTACAGTAGCATTTATTATCTTGATACATCAGCTTTGTATATTTATTAGTATGATTGCAAATAGATGAACAGGCAAGCACATATGCTAAAGTGTTCCTTCACTTTGATTTTTTAATTATTTTAATACATACTACCTATTTTTGAAACATTTTTTCCGATCTGTTCCTAGAACGAATCATAAAATTATTTTACCAAACTTTTTCATTATTTCATAAATATCTCTAAAGCTTTTGAATATGTTCCATGTATACTGCCCTACTCATCTGCAAAAAATGGGTACAAAACTGGTTGTTACAAAGAAACTTGGAAGTACTTGCACATGGACTACTTGGGAGCTACTTCATAGTTAGATTACTTTTTCTGTTTAACACGACAAAATGCTATAATGGTTACAACCAAAAAGATTTACTTGAAATGCTTCACTTATATAGTTACTGTACCCATTTTTGCAGATGAGTAGGGCAGTATACATGGAATATATTCAAAAGCTTTAGAGATATTTATGAAATAATGAAAAAGTTTGGTAAAATAATTATAATTTCATTGCCTCAATTGATATAATTCATGTTTCTTTGGATTGAAAAATCTTTATATAACCTTCAATAAAAGTCCTTAATTATTTCCTATGTATCTTAAAACATGAGATCTGATTGGATAGCAACCAGGGTGTAAATTTCCTTACACCCAGCTAAAGCTGGGGTGGGGTGGGTGGGGTTAAATAATGTGACATCACAATGAATAGTTTCTATATCAAATAAACACCATACAACATGATGTCACGATGTATTGAAGCATGTAGTAAATCAATAGTTTAAAATATTAGTGGAATTGGGTTTACAGAGAAATTATTAGGTTATATAGGAAATAAAGATTTGTTATCCAGGTGTAATCAAGGGTGTACAAAGATTTACCTGTTAGCAAATATAACCTATCACTGGGTCGTATTTTGGCTGACTTGCTTCATACCAATTGTTAAGCCTTTGTTTATATGCTAAATTTGACTACTGAATATTCCATCTACTTGATCAATATATAGGGCTCACAGTGGGTGTGGCCGGTCAACAGGGGATGCTTAATCCTCCTTGGCACGTGATCCCACCTCTGGAATTTCAGGGGGTCTGTGTTTATGCAGTGTTCAAAGATTTGTATTGTTTGTAATTTTTATGAAATAGATCACTGTTCATTATCTTCTCTTTTTCACTCCATATCCATACCCCGCAATCATAACTTTGACCTTTTGACTCCAGAATCAAGAGGAATCATCCTCTCCACTGGAGTAGAGACTGATCTAAAAGCCAATTTGAAAGCAACTAAATCATAGAAACAAATTTAATTTCTGATGTACACATACCCTAAATTAAATTAGTGACTATTGTCTGCCCCAAAATAAATACAGGGACCCAAGACTTTATCTTTAAAATAATTAAAAATTCTTTTAAACAATGTATAAGTACTGCACAACAAATGTAAATCACATAACACATAAATATGCATAGACATTTAACACATACAACAGGGTGATTGGGCTATGTGTATGTTTAAGGTGTGCAATAGAACATCTCCTATGACACGATACAATATTTTACAAGATGGTGTGTATATATTGAATAAACTATGTGATATTTTGTTTAGTATATTACTATATAGGTCTCTGGGTATTGCTAAGAGACCCCTAACATAGAATGAAATGCAAGTTGGGACCCATGCATGTAGTTTTCTCGTTTATTTAATTAGACGCATGCAATTTCTTCACTTTAACAAGGTTGGATCCTGATATTTAAAGTCTTAAACTTTTTTTGTAAAGTATATTTTATGTTTCTACACAGATAGCTTAATTAAAATTCAAAACAAAAAATAGGGGTCAATACGCTTCTTTTGGCGCTACAGTACATTTAATATGACCTTTTTGCACTGAAATTTGTGTCTTAATCAAAAATCACATCTTCGACGTTTTCCCTCCAAAGTTTTTATCCAAATTAATCATGGGACAAAATAAACTATCAGTCTATTTAAAAAATGACACATTAAAGTTGTGACTAAGAAAAAGTTTCAAATTGCTTCGCATAATCAATTATTTGACCTTTCTGCACTCACAAAATGTGATTTTTCTGGCATTAAAAATTTACCCAGCAAGAAAATTATTTTAAAGTCTTAAACTTTTGCTGAATTTAAGCAGATTGATCAAAGTTATTATATATATTCAGAAAAGAAAAACAAAAGTGGGAGTCTATGATCTAAATTTTTAGATATTACTAAAAAAGTGTTAATTTTATGATAAAATTGGCTCAATTTTTTCCTGGAACTTCAGAATATATTTACTATATTTGTCACAATATAATGAAAGAATTCATAAGAAATAATTTAATAGATATTTCAGAACCAGCATAAAACATTTCACTGCAAAAAACATCTCTGTTTGCAACCAGCATGGAAAAATAGGAATCAAAACTTAACAGTACTGTATATATTTCAAAAGGGAAAAAATGATCATTTTCTTCTAAAAAACCTTCCGCCACAAAATATAGTTCCTGGCTTAATCCTATTTGAATTGAATTTAATCGCGGTTTTTTCATCTGATATAGTTTAATTTGCATAGTAGAATCCAGATTTAATGTTAGAACTTAAAAATAATGCAGAATTTTATAAATAAAGTTTCAGGCCAAAATCTGCTCAAAAGCTCAGGATCGAACCTCCTTAAGAGCATATTTTATGATTAAACAAATGTCATTTCAAACTCTACCAGATATACTGTAATACAGTGCCCTACACTCAGTATGTGTACAGGGTGATAAAAAATACATTATCAATATTGCCATTTATCATGTTTATTTACCAATAATTTCAAAACTTTTTAATTCTGTATTGCATATTTATGAAAAAATCATGACGATACTATCATCAATTACTTGCAATAGGATTAATCAATAAAATAAATGAATTGTGCATTTCCGTCCTCATCACCATCTTTCTTCAGCATCGACTGATACGAGGTTCGACATGGCAATTATAAATAAATATTTATCTTTTTATTCTGTCTTGAAATGCTGTACAGCTGGTCTGAAAAAATGTGATGGATTACCAGAGGAAATAAGATCTGATTTATTAGAATTAAATGTTCTGTATTTAAAAAAAAACGGGTTGGCAATTTACGAAACAATAGTAGGTCGGGTTATTTAGCCAACCAAAATGGCAGTACAGGCTCCGACCGAGGACTGAGGAAGCTTAGGATGACTAATAAGAATGGTTGCGGCGAGTGTTTTGTTGTGGAAGTATTAGAAGAATGTGTAAGAAACATACGGTTAGTCGCCTAAGTTCAAATCTATCAAATTCAAAGTTTTAATAAAAAGATATCTACAATTCTACACTTGGACGATACACTGATGTAACAGGGTTTTCTTATGCTGTTAAAGAAGAACTCCTGCGTCTAAGGTTCGATCATTTTATTTTGTCATGTTGAATAAATAAATACATCAATAAAGCCCTGAAAATATCAATAACAAATTATAAGTATTTAGAAAACAAACAACCATATTACATTTATAATGATATTCATGAATTTAGGCATGAATTACTTTATAATAATCAATCATAAAAGTATTACACATTATACTGAGCATTGAAATAAATACATGGAAAAGTAAGAGTTATTTCCCTTACATCGACGTCTTGAAAACGAGAATATAAATCGAACTATTCCAAATAGAACTATTACAAATAAAATGAATAGTTCACAAATCTATTTGCAATAATATATACACAATAAATAGAAAATAATTGTAGGTATACCTGATTGTGGATCAAGGCTCAAACAATGGCCACCCGATAAAAATAACGGGTCTTGATATATATACTCCTATTAAACAATAATTATCTTCTATATACACTTCTGCATAATTGATATTTTATTTACATACTCAAAGAATTTATACTTTAAGCTTCATTTAATAATGATAAAGTTGAACTCAGTATATCTTCACAAAATTACATTAAAAATCAAAGACGATGAATTATCGGAAAGTATAGAATAAGAATTAGTAAAGATAAAAGAAATAGAAGTCAACTTACAGTCTCTGTCCTGAGGTCTCGTCTCAATATTAATATTGTATATAATGATGACCAAAAATACTCATCTCACTTTCTCAATGGTCTATAGATGTCTGACCGATACACAAAGAGATCGGCGGGAAAAACGTCCCTAACCAATCGCAAGCTTGGATATTAAAACTGACCAATAACATTATATACCCTCAGGATAAGTAAGAACTTCTAGAACATAAGTAAAGATTAAAACCAAATGAAGTTGTAATATTTTATTAATTTTATTAACGGTGAGCGCAAAACTCCGTGAAAACGAAATGCTGCGCGATGCTAAAAATAAAATATATACACGTGAATATTAAGTCACTGAACTATATAATATAATATTCACTTAATAAAATAAATTAAAATATCACTCTATCACATATGCCCCCTCCATACGAAATGACGTCCTCGTCATTATACTTGGAGCATATGTACAATAGTACTAAATAAAAACATCTAAATCAAATACATACACTTACTTGGAATCCTTGTCTAAAATTGCATTCAACATTGCCCTGCATACCATATTTACAGCATACTCTCCATCTCGCATCCATTGGGGTGGTTTTGTAGTTCTCTTGGATCTGCGAGGGGGAGGTAAAGGTGCTATGCTGACCGAGTTTTCTACACTATCAATGGTTCCCTGATTTTCTTCCTGTTCTTCATCCTGTTCTGCAAGTTCCATAGCAGATGAACCTACTTCAGCAGCTCCAGCACTAACTTCATCTATAGATGAGTCTGTATCATCTGTATTTTTACTATCTCCATGCATGGAATCTGTTTCCTTCATTGTGGAATGAGAGGCGTCCCTCTCGGCTTCCATATCCTGTCCTCTCTTGTCATTCTGATCGTCACCAGTCCGATCAAGAGGGATACTTGTAGTTACTTGCCTAGGCACTTTCACTTTCTTGGAGGAAATTACAATTATGTCAGATTCATCATCTGAATCATGGTCCTGGTTTAACTCAAGAGTTTCTGGTTCTCTGTTGTTATCATGGACATTTCTCTTCCTCCTTGGAGCTGGAACAGGTGTTGGTTTTGGACTATTCTCCTGATCATCAGGATTAAAAGTCGCCACTGGGAGTAGTAAATTCCTATGAAGAGTGCGTTGCCTCCCTAAACCATTTTCCTTCTTTACAGTAAAGACAGGGATTTCAGGATTTGGCTGCGCAACAACAACATAAGGATCATCTTCCCATCTATTAGAGAGTTTGTGCTTTCCATCAAAAGCCAAGATCTTCACTAGAACAGTATCTCCGACTTTGATGGTACTTCCTCTAACTCTTTGGTCGTAGAACTTCTTCTGCTTTTCTTGGGCTTTCTTTGTTGCTTTTGCTGCCAACTCATGTGCTTTCTCAAGCCGCTTCTGTAGATCTGTGATATAGCTAGTCATTAGTTGTTTCTTGGTAGTGGTGTTGTTCAAACCAAATGCTATATCTACAGGTAACCGGGGTTGTCGTCCAAACATCAGGAAGTAAGGAGTATGGCCAGTGGTGTCTTGTCTTAGCGAGTTGTATGCATGCACCATTGGTCCGACATACTTCCTCCAGTTCTTTTTTTGTTCTGTTGATAACGTTCCTAACATCTGAAGTAAAGTCCGGTTGAATCTTTCTGTGAGGCCATTTCCCATGGGATGGTAGGGTGTTGTTCTTGATCTTTCTATTCCTGTGAGATTACAGAGTTCCTTAATAATATTAGATTCGAAATTTGCTCCTTGGTCTGAGTGTAGTCGTTTTGGAAGGCCATAATGAAGAACAAAGTTGTTATAAAAGGCTTCGGCAGTTGTTTTGGCAGTTTGATTTCTTGTAGGTACGGCAACGGCATATTTCGTAAAGTGGTCAGTGATTACTAAAATGTGTTGATATCCGCCTTTTGAAGTTTCTAATGTCAGATAATCCAAACAGACTAATTCCAAAGGTTCTGAAGTTTGTATGTTGACTAAAGGAGCTCTGTCAGTGGTTGGCGATTTTCTCAACAGGCATCTTTTACAACCTTTAATCCATTCTTCAATATGATACGTCATACCGGGCCAGAAAAATCTCTCTCTAATAAATGATGTTGTCTTATCTCTCCCTGGATGACCAATGTTGTTATGGGAATACTTCAAAACTTCGTTGACTAAGTCAGGTGGTATAACAAGCTGTTGTTGTATCTCTGAATCAATTGTTGTTTCTCGGTACAGCTTATTGTCAATGATCTTGAATTTGTCGAAGTTCTTTCTGAAGATTGTTGATTCTTGTGTCGGTGGTAACTCATGTTTCCTAGGAAATCTCTTCTGCTCCACAAAGTATATCCAGTCTCTTATGATAGGATCCTGATGTTGTGCTTTCTCAATATGATGAATATGCTGGCACTGTACTGACATCAAGGGCTGAAGAGTTTCATGGTTGAAACTTAAGCTTTCTATGTAAGGTTCTTGAGGCTGAACATGGATGCTTGCTATGGTCCTTATACAGTCTTGTGAGATTGGCAGGTAATCCTTAGGTTCTACAGCAGGTAATCTTGAGAGCGCATCAGCGTCTGAGTTGTTACGTCCTGGTCTGTAGAGAATATCAAAGTCAAATGCTGCCAATGCTGCCACCCATCGATGCCCAGTCGCATCCAGTTTTGCTGTTGAAAGTACATATGTTAAAGGATTGTTGTCTGTTATAACTGTAAATTTCTTGCCAAATAGATAGTCCTGAAATTTTTCTGTAACTGCCCATTTCAGCGCCAAAAATTCCAATTTATGTGCCGGATAGTTGCGTTCTGATTTACTTAATCCTCTACTAGCATAGGCAATTACATGGTTGATTCCTTCCTGTTTTTGATAGAGAATGGCTCCTAAACCAACTGAACTGGCATCCGTATGAATTTCGAATGGTAAGTCAAAATTAGGATAAGAAAGGATGGGTGGGGATGACAAACGCTGTTTCAGCATCTGGAAAGCTTCTTCCTGCTCTTGCTCCCAATGCCACTCAGGAATCCTAGTTTTCTTCTTCATTGTTGTTTTTGACTTGGTGGTTGACGGTATAAGATTCGTAAGGGGTCTAGCTATTTTTGAAAAGTCTTTGATAAATTTTCTATAATATCCCACAAAACCTAAAAACTTCCTGACCTCCTCTGGTTTTGTGGGTGTAGGCCATTCCTTAATCTTCTGAACTTTATCATCATCAGGTTCTATTCCCTTAGTAGATACAATATGGCCCACATATTTTATTCTTTTCTTAAACAAAGAACATTTCTTTGGTGATAATTTGATCCCACAATCCTTCAGTCTTTGGAATACCGTCCTCAATCTGTCTAAATGTTCATCAAAATTATCTCCTGAAAACACAATAGCATCATCCAGGTAAATAAAACAGATGTGATGATGAAGATCCCCTAAACACTCCTCCATTAGTCGCTGGTACGTTGCTGGAGCATTAACTAATCCCATCGCCATGCGATTATGTTCAAAGAATCCCAAGGGACCGACAGTGAAAGCAGTTCTCTCCTTGTGTTCTTCTGCTATAGGGATCTGATAATATCCTGACTTCATATCTAGGACAGAAAACCAAGTATTTCCAGCAAGCGAGTCCAATATCTCATCGATACGAGGAAGGGCATAGTTATCCTTCTTGGTCTTGCTGTTAAGATGGCGATAGTCTATGCAGATCCTCAGTTGTCCATTTTTCTTTCGTACTAGGACGACGTTTGATGAGAATGGTGAGTGAGATCTCCTAATAATTCCGGCTGCTAATTGTTGCTCTATGTGCTCTCTCACTTCATCAATCATAGATGGTGGAATGCGACGGAAACGTTGCTTAAAAGGCGTTTCATCTTCAAGCTCAATTCTGTGTTCCACAAAAGGGCAGTATCCAATGTCAGTGTCTCCTTTTGAGAATAAGGAATCATAGTCATTGAGCAATTCTTCAATTTTCTCTAGCTGCAACTGAGAAAGTTCATCTCGAGGCAGGTCAATTTGCTCCAATACATCTGATGTTTCTAATAAGTTGTTCCTTGGAAAATTTTGGACACTGACTTGTTGCACTTCACACAGTAACGCATGAGGGTAGACTGTCACTTTGTTTGTAGTAACGTTGTTGATGTGCACTGGTACTGGAAAATTCCTTGCAGTATCATAGGTGATGACACTGGGCTCTATATCCAGATCAGCTGGAATACGAGAGTTGACTGTAGGTGACAGCATCCCACACACAGGATGGTAAGGTAACTCATCATGCAGGTATCCCT